TTCCAGCCCATGATGTACTCCTGCCTTCCAAAATACCTTCCAAGATACCTTCCCTCCCTAACATGACTCAGTTTAAAGCCCTCCTGATCAAATGTTTGAGACTTTTGGCAAAAATGCTTCTGCCAACTGGTGTGAGATGCAGCCCATCTCTTGCTAGAAGTCCACCCTCATGGAACCGCAGCCCATGATCTAAGAATCCAAATTGTTCTTGGTGGCACCATCTATGGAGCCAGTTATTCACATCTACTCTTCCTTCCTGGATCATGCCCTTCAATTGGGAAGGTACCCACTTATAGCACATGTAACCAAAGTCCATTATCAACGTGTAGAGGCTTTGTTAACTACAACATACCTATGCTGTAGTAAGGAAAAGGGACAGGCACTCACAAAAATAACTGCAAAGTGCATAGAGGAAGCCACATACCAGATAGCTCATTAAAACCGACCTACATTATTATGCCTTCAGAAGAAAAGTGACCTAAAAGAACGCAGAGGGGGAAAAAGCACAACCTTTTCCTTTGGGAGGAGTGCTAAGGACAGGACTGCCTGAACTTCATTTTTGTTTCATTCCATTTATCTATTGAAACAAGGAACAATAGACTTGAGTAACTGGGCTCAGACAGATTAACTTCGGGGAATCCCACAGAGAACAAGCCACCGTTTTGATTTCACATGAGAGTATAAAAGGTATTTTGAGTTTAAAACACTGAGGAAGTTAATGCTTCTTTCTTTCTTTCGTTGAAGCCTTGTAACTCACCGGAAGAGCTAGTGTGGCAATGTGGTTTGAGTTTTGGACTATGACTCTGGAGACAAGGGTTCAAACCCCTGCTCAACCATGGAAACCCACTGAGAAGCACTGGCAAAATAGAATATTTACAGTATCCAGTCAGGGACAGGCTGAAAATGGTGGGAATCAGCTTGAGGAGCGGATATAAAAGGACAAGAAAGTGAGAGCGAGAGCTGAAGAGTGCGTCAAGAACTGCTGAAAGCAGTTAGACTTGCCAGAGGGGCAGATAAATGTTTGGCTCTATTAGGAGTTAGATTCCTATGTAAGGGAGGAAAGATTTGAAAAGGACAAAGGAAGTCCAGTGATATTGAGGAGAGTGTGTTAAGCCTGCTGCGGCAGGAAGGTGTTTTTAAAACTGCCAGAAGTTGCAGTTAGGAATAGGAGTTCAGCTGGATGGGACTCAGACTCCCTGTTCAGTAAAAAGAACTTTTAGATGACAAAAGAAGTCCAGTGGTATTTAAGGGAATATGTTCTGTGTGAATTAAGTCAGTGAAGAAACGTAAATATAGGGCCTTTGCAGACTGCTAGAAATAGTGCAAATTGAGTCCACTTTAAGGGTTAGGGTTAGGGTTAGGGAATCATGGGAACTGTATTTTATTGTGGCACCAGAGCTCTCTGACAGAGAAGGCTCAATGTCTCAGAAAAAAAACACCCAATTCCCATGACTCCCTAGCACTAACCCTAACCCTTAAAGTGGACTCAGTTTGCACTATTTCTGGCAGTCTGCAAAGGCCCATAGTTAGTGAGGGAAAGTAGTAAATTTGTAACAATGTGGATGGAGAACCATCCACCAAGAAAGATACAATCTGAATTTAAATAAAGTTATTTTTATTCTTCAAGTTCAACAAGGAGAAGGCTGAAGTAATTTTACAAACAACAAATATGCTACTAAAAGTAATAAGAACTATTATTAATAAAGACACTTTAATTAGTGGGTAGGATCGCTGTCAAAGATAAATTGGTGCCAAGTGGTGGAATCCTTAAAGAGCCATTGTGCTGGCATCTATGAGAACCAGTGGTGTCCCATAATAATTGGTGGCAGTGGGTGGATTGTGAAGTCGTAGGCTTTCATGGCCGGCATCCATAGTTTTTGTGGTTTTTTTCGGGCTGTGTGGCCATGTTCTGAAAGAGTTTCTTTCTGACGTTTCGCCAGCATCTATGGCTAGCATCTTCAGAGAAAACTGAGATGGAAAAGCCTGGTTGTATATATACTGTGAGACCCTGGGTAGGGAGGAGTGGTTCCCAGGTGAGCTGTGTGTTGTCTGTGTTGAATAGGTATTGTACTGTGTTAATGGCATAGCTTCAGGCTATGCAACCAAGGGTATTGTCTGCTATTCCCATGTAAACTGTGTATTGTTCTGTGTTGAATAGGTGTTGTTCTGTTGTTAATGGCATGGCTTCCAAGTGGGTGGATTGTTGCCACAGGTAGTTTAAGTTTTGGACTGTGACTCTGGAGACAAGGGTTCAAATCCCTGCTCAGCCATGGAAACCTACTGGGTTGGTAGGACCTTGGGTACCCAGGAGCCCTGGTGGCACAGTGGTTAAATGCTGGTACTGCAGTCACAAGTGAGTTTGATCCCAGGGCTCCAAGGTTGATCTTTCCATCATTTCGTAGGTTAGTAAAATGAGTACCCAGCTTGTTGGGGGAAATTGGCTTACAGATTGTAAACTGTTTAGAGCAGGGGTAGGCAACCTTTTTGAGCTGGGGCCGGGTTGCTGCCCCTCAGACAATTGGGGGGCGGAAGCACCCAAAATAAATAAATAAATAAAAATAACAAATAACAAATGACAAAAATATGCATGCACACTCTCTCAGCCCCAGAAAAGTCATGGCAAAACCTTTGTGGAGATTTTGCCAAGAAAACCCCAATAACAAGTAATAACAACAATAATCAATACCATCATGGCGGGGGCCGGAGGGGGGTGGTGGCAGTGGTGGCAGGACCGCATCCAGCCCCCGGGCCTTAGGTTGCCTATCCCTGGCTTAGAGAGTGCTGAGTTCACTATTAAGAGGCATAGAAATGTAAATGTGATTGCTATTGCTACGTCCCACTCTCTCAGCCTCAGAGGAAGACAAATTGTCTAAAAAATTGTATCTGTCATGCCCAGCCTGCTGAGGACTCTGAGGCTGAGGAGGCTGAGCTAGACCCTCATCTTGGACCAGAGCCTGAAGCTGAGTCTGGCCCTAGTTCTGCCCTGCCAGCTCCAGTAGAGTCTGTGGCACCCAAGGAGGCTCAGACACCAAGCCTTCCGGCAGCAGAGTCTTCAGGCATGGAGGAGGGAGAAGGGATGGTACCTACCTTCAACCAATGAAGAGTGGAAAGGGAGGGCTTCTGGTGCTCATGGAGGCTTTATGAAAAACGCAGAGCAATCAACAACAGCTGAGCACCTGTGGTCTGGTAATATAAACAGGTGCCGGACACCAGCATAGTTGTCAGAGATTATCTGAGCTTCCTAGTGAAAGCACACTTGATCCTGACTTTTCTTCTGGTCTGGAAACCTTGATGCTTGGATTGCAGGTTTGCCATGTCTCTCTGATTCTTTGACCTTGGATTGTCTACATGACTTGTCTCTCTCTGGGCCCTGGACTTTGTCTGGTTGTATCCTTGGTTTGTTGCTATGAGACTTTTGCTTTATGACTGTTTATGTGCACAGAACCCTTGACTGCATTAGCTCTGTATACTGTTTTGTTCTATGTTGCTTTGAGTATGGCTATCAGCATACTTGGTCGCTTTACTGTAGAAGGTTGCTTGAGCTTTAAAATCTGCAGGGGAGGGCTTTCTCCTAGTCCTGCTACCTTCACAGGCACATTTTATGAGGGCATGGGATTCCACATGGCTGCTCTCAGGATATGGAACTCCTACAGGAAATCTGTTTGCCTCCCTCTCTGCTCCCTTTCCACCAGCAGATGAAGACCTTTTCATTCAGGATTTGAGATTTTAATTGATGTAACAGTAGTGTTTGTGAAGTGATGTGTGTTGTATTTTTATTTTTTTTACTAGTTATTATATTTTAAACATGTTTTTAAATACAGTAATCTTCCATTTTCATGGACTTGAAGTCTGTATCCCTTGCCAGTTCATGGTGGCAAACGGAGGGGGGCAAAAAGGGCGCACACTGCCATTCAAGCCTATGGGGCTTGAATATTTGCAGTTTTCCATTTTTGTGGGTGGGTGGGTCTGGAATGGATCCCCTGTGAAAACGGAGGGGTGACTATAATGTTGATTAATTATTTTCTTAACTTTGGTAAAATAAGAGGTTATCTTTATCTTGTTTTAAATTCTTGTAAGCCGCTTTGGATCCTGTCCCGGGAGAAAGGACGGGTATAAATGCACTAAAGAAGCAAACTGGCCCTTGCCAGCACAGTTGGTACTATATTATCAATTTAAAATTTCCATATTCAGAACTAAATGAAGTTTTCTTGCCTGTTTTCAAAGTCAGTTACACATAGAAGGAATTGCAGTAGTTCAAACAAGAGAGGTTACCAGAACACAGATATGCAAGCAAAGCTCTCTCTGGGTGTTAGGGTTGTATTTGGCATACCAGACTAAGCTGGTAAAAGGTGCTCCATGCAGAAAAAACACTGGGCTAACAGTGACTTCATCTTGTTTTGACTGAACATCAGTTTTTCAGTCTTTATCCAGCCTTTCACTGTGTCCAGGTGCTAAACTGTGCCAGTTCAGTGTTGTTTAGTCCCCTTTGTCTCAGTTGAATCTAATATCATTGCAGCAAGTGACCCTGAGTTCAAATGAAGAGAAAGTTCTTTGTTTATATCATGCATAATTATATGAATTGTGTGTCTTCTCATAGCTGGTTTTCTGAATGAAAAGAGCACAAATGCTTCCTCCATTCTTTGTGAGAGAAGTGCTTCATCCTCTTTCTGTTTCTTCCTGACTTTCCCATCAATATGATTTTTTTTCTTGAGACAGGAGAATCAAATTAATATGCAGTCTTTCAAATGCTGAAATGAACATGGCTACCTCTTAAGCAGGATTTGTTCATGTGAATTTTACATCCCTCCCCATTTCCCACTCCTTTTTAATGTAAACCCAGTTTGTTGCAAGTTTCTATTCAGAGGTTGAATAGAAATGTTGGTATTGTATTTCCTTAGGAGAGGAAACATCATACTGCTACCTCATTTGGCTTGGCCCTGTGGAAAATCACCTGATTTCCAACAGATTGATGTACCTCACTGGATGCTGGCTCCCTAATCATAGTGGTTGTTCTATTCAGCAGCAAATTGCTAGGTCTGGCATGTGGCAGATACAATGAAAAATCATGGGAGGTGTATTTACTTTTTTAATGTAGATTCTAATAGAACACATATGGTTATAAAACTTAAGAATGCCTTACTGCAGTTACATATATTACAACTTCATCTATCTGAAATGATTTCTAATGTATTTTCCCTGCTGCTCCGGCTATGTCATTAGAAACATGCATGAAGTCCAAGGTTTCCATGGCTTTTAATGACTTCATAGCATTTATCAACATTATGAACAGATTGCTTGGGAGTACATGGTTTCTGTTCTTTTCCTGCTACTGACTTAGAGACCCCAAGGGTCATGCTGCAGCTGTATAATCTATGCCCACTGTAGATTTTTTGAAATTATTTATCTGCTTTACATCAGATGCAGACCTGCAATGCATTATGTCAACTAACACAATAATAACAATTGAGATTATTCTTCATAAGCAGTAGATTCATAGACTCAAGTATAGACTTTATGTCTAGCCCAGTGATTTCCAAAGTGGGTGGTATTGCCCCCTTGGGAGTGGTAGAAAGATCCTGTGGGACAGTGAAGGAAAAAAGGGCAGCAGGGATTGGTGAGGAAAAAAGGGGGTGCAGGGGGGTTCAGTCAAAATATTGGCATGCAGGAAAGACAAAGAAGTAGAGGTTTTTAGGAGCATAGTGGCATGAGGGTTACATGAAATTTCTCTTTTCGGGATTATACACACACACACACACACACACACCAGTACAACAAAATTTACATCTGGCCTTCCTTATCCATGGATTCAACCATGCATGGCTTGAAAATATAATAT